CTGGGGATTCGAACCCGCCACCTTAGGTGTATGTGGCTGGCGCCTTAGCCGCTTGAGCCACAGGCGCCGAGCCACTTGACATCTTAAGGTGGGGGTTTTCCATCTTTTTTATCTCACAGCAACCTTGACCCTACAGTTAAACTTCCATGGCATACTTAAACTATGTTCATCAAGGAAAATAGTGGAAAAAAAAAAAAGAATATACTTACTGTGCTTTCAACTTCTTTCGAAAATAATTTGATTAACGATCTTTAAAAATATTCAGCACACCTAAGATCCTCTCACCTCACACCAGTGTACTGTGGCACACTAATTGAAAATCACTGTCTTAAGGTTGTCTGTAGATTATTGTGTTGCTGGGAGCCAGCTACGTGTCCAGAAAAAGAATGCATTCCAGCACTTTTTTTGCTATTCCTCCATTCCAATGTGAACAAAAAGTTTCAGACCCAGGAAAGTGTCACACTCACATTATGTCTTGATTGAATTTTACCAAGACCACTTATTGTGGCAATTGTCACCTAACTAGTCTCCCTGCTTTCATGTACTAAGTCCTCACTTTGTATCACTGATAGGTTCCTGGAAGCTGTGACTTTAAGTGACACAATGTATAATTAAACCAATATTATACCATTAGGCTAATTGATATAAATGAGAGTTAAATTCCCTCTGATATATTTCTGGTCACAGAAACAATACCAAACTTCTAAATAAAGACTCAAGTAAATGTCAGCTATATATATATTTAAGAAAGATTCATTAAAAAATGTAAGATAGTTATTTATCTACTTTTTCTAATTTGGGGTCACAGGTGGCTGGAGCCAGTCACAAGACTCAGTCATACACACCCATGCTAACTCAGACTAGGGACCATGTAGACACAAGTGAACGTGCACAGCTTTGTGATGTTCAGACAGTGGCCCTTGCTAGGAATTGATTTTTTTCTTATCAATGTCATAACAGAGTGGCATGGGAGGAAATGATGTTATTCAAAGACCTGCTATATTTGTTGCCCTACAATCTATTTTGAACAAAAAAGCCAGAGAGAGTCTGTCAAAACCTCGATCAGATTCTGTTTCTCTTCTGTCCAAAACTCTCCAAATGACTCCAGATTCAGAATAAAACCTGAAGTCCTTAAAAGATCCCCAGGTACTAGCCGAAGGCTTCTGACAGCTCCATGCAGTCCTGCCTCCCTGCTGTGCAGGTCCCCAGGCTAATGCCCTCTCATGGCCTTTGCACTTGCCGGAGAGCTCTTCCTCCAAGTCTCTGCATAGTTCACATCTTCTCTTCCTTTGGGTTTTTTTTGGGAAAAACTATTATCTAAGTGATCTTACCCGATCATCTTTTTTTTTTTTAAATTTCCATGTATAAAAGGTTTTTGATTTTGCAGAAATTAACAGCCAGTGTTTCATTTGGTATTAGCAATATTGTATCCAAGTAAGAAATTAGAGAACAAAAGAGAATCAAAGATCATATTCTGGTTAAGAAGCTAAATGAGGCAGAAGTTGGTCTTGTCTTAGTTCACGACCTACTTTTGAGAGGAGTATATGATACGAGTACAAATACCATTTTGGTGTGGAGTACTCTGATGACCTGGCCGTGGTAATTTGGGGAAGCTTGATTTTATTCAGATTCAATTCTTTGCATCCTGGGATGACATAAAGGGCTCAGATTTATATTCTTATAAATGTAGGAGCTCTTACCTGTTACCTTTGATGATTCTTTTCCAGAAGGTTTGGAGATGGCCCTTTCATGTCCTTAAAAACTCTTGTGCTAAAGGGAAAATGACTAGATAAGATCTGTACTAATTTCCTAGAGCCACCATGGCAAAATTCCACAACTGGGTGGCTTAAAACAACAGAAATTAATTTTCCTGCAGTCACGAAGACTGAAAGTTCAAAATCAAGATGGCAGCAGGGTCATGTTTCCTTTAAAGGCTCTAGGTAAAACTCCTTTGTCCCCTTCAGCTTCTTGTGGTCCCTGGCAATCCTTTAATTTCCTTGGCTTGTGGTAGCATGACTACAATCTTTGCCACTGATACAGGGTATCCCCACTCTGGGCTGGACGAGGACCCCTCCCCATTTTCTAGGCCTGGGTGAAGCTCAGAAATCAGACCCCCATCTCTAGACACAAACAGGCTGCTCTTTCCAGGCTGCACCTCTGGGCTTTTATCTGATCGATCATCTTATTAAAAATTGTAATCTCTGCTCCCCATCAAAACTAATTCCATAATCCTGTGCTTTTTTTTCCTCTTCAAATCTTATTTTTAAAAAACCATGTGCTATGCTCAGTGTGTTTTCTGTGTGTTTTCCTTGCTTGTTTTCTACCTCTCCCCATGCTTTCTATCTTTCCCCACTCTTCTTTCTCTAAGAAGACATACATTTTACAGTGTTAAATCCTCAGTGCCTGTGAGGGCTCAATAAATATGTATCAATGAATCGATGAAGTTTTCCTCTTTACCCCCTTTCACCCTGATCTGCCTCCATAGAGGGGAATGTTTCTTTCCTCTTATTCCATAACACTTACTATCTGTGACACACAATCTCTTACAAAGCATAAATCCGTCTTGATTTATTCTTTTATTATTATACATCATCCATCACAGTTGGATGTGACTCTGTGACTCTGCCCTCTTCATTTGAAACATGTTCACTGTCTCACATAGCGCTAAGTGTGCAAAAGAGGTTTCTCAAAGAACCAGTGTAGGTTAGAGGGAGAAATGCCTAGGGATAATGATGCAATTTGCCACATTATAGCGACGTCCTAAGGTGATCATGGTGTGGTACAGTAGCTTCCCCAGTGTGCTACTGGTGGTTGTCAGACGATTTTAGAGGAATGCATACCTCTCTGGCTCTGTGTTCGTTTTAAGGTGCATCAGGGACATCACAAGCCCATCAACCCCAAAGTTTTGTGGATATTACTGCTTAAAAATACTTTCTTTTAAAAATAAATTTTAAAACATTATGTCTGTTGAAAGAAAATAATATATAAGTAGTAGTATAGATGTTATGGGCTGAGTTGTGTCCCCTTCAGTTCTTATGCTGAAGGCCTAATGCCTGGTACCTCAGAATGTGATTGTGGTGAGAAAGGTTCTTTAAAGATTCTTTAAAATGAGGTCATTAGGGTGGGTCACTAGTCCAAAGTGACTGGTATCCTTATAAGAAAAGGAGATCAGCAGCGCCTGTGGCTCAGTGAGTAGGGTGCTGGCCCCATATACCGAGGGTAGTGGGTTCAAACCCGGCCCCCG